TTTCTCATTCTTTTTTTCGGGAAAAATAATTTTTTAGAGAGATTTATAATCCTTCTCCTTCTTCTTCTTCTTCTAGTCGTGGATCATCCTTTATATAAATATTATGATACTTTTGACAAGAGAGTTTTGCGTTTATCCACACGTCCTTTTATGTGGATGAGCTCAGAGCTCTCGAAGAAATATTAAAAGTAAGCATTAAAAAAAAAAAAAAAAGGAGAGAAAATAATATCCGAGGAATCGGTGTCTGCCTCGGGAGGAGGCTCGCGCATGAATTATCCTTGTCTGAAGAGTTCCTATATACGTCCTACAAAGATTTTCAAGTCTCGAGGCTCTCGCGGTGAGAGAAACGCGCGCGAGGGAGGAACGAAGCAAACGAGTTGGTTCGGTGTCCCATGGAGTTTCTTAAATAAACTACAGGTAGGTTGCGAGATAGCTGCTTGTTTGAGGCTCATCCACTTGACAGAGACTATCCTCTCGTTACCTTCTCTTGCTTCTTCTTCTTCTTCTTCTACTTCTTCTTTTTCTTCATCTTCTTCTTTATTCTTATATACTTCTTAGTCTTCATTTTGCTCTCTCTCTCTCTTTTTCTCTTACACCTCCCCTTGCCAAGAGATACTGATGAAAAGCGAAAAGTTCGTTACTACGGCAATTACGATAAGAATCTAAACTAAGCGTCGCGAGCTTTCTTTTAAAGTATACTTCCCTTCACTCGAGGTGATCATACGGTAAATGAAAGTCACCATGACGTTTAGTATCGCTTTTAATGGCCCAAAAAAAAAGTCTCCTTCTGCATGCAAGATGTGCTCTCGGCTCTTGCTATATATATGATAAAAAGAGAGGCCGAAATTACTTCTCTCCTCCAAAAACGATGAAAAGAGAATCTTGGAGCTCGAAAATTTTCCAAGAATTTGGTGACAAAAAATTCATCACAAAAAAAAAAATTATTATAAACTTTTAAAATCGTTTGTTGACACACTAAGTCATGACCCTTAGATCTAGATTCTAGAATTTTTTAAGATATTTTACTGCAAATTAATATGTGGTACTTAAATTTTTTATTTATATTGAAATGTAAAATGGAAAAATTTATTTGATTATTAAATTCTTAAAAATATAAATTGAACATAAAAGAAATTCAAGAAAAAAAGCAAATTACAAAAATAACAGTGTGACGAATTTAAAGGAAAATTTATGTGACTAAAATAGATATATATATATACACACACACAGCTTCTCGCTGTTTCATCAATTCGTATCGAAACTTCAAAGCCAGACCGACTTCAGTTCAATGCATCATTAGAGATTTATCTCAAAGTGTGTTCTTATTCCATTCATGCCAATCATTATCAGATAGCGCCAACTTTCATTTGAACCTCATTCACAGAAATGAAAAAGAACCTTTCGTTTCTGTATTTGAGATCCCTGATTATCCATTAAATTCAAAAAAAAAATCATTGCAAATTTTAAAAATAAATATATATATATATATATATATATATATATTCTTGTATTCTTTTGATAAAATTTTTATTAAAATTATGTTTTAGAAAAAAATCTAATACCTACACTGAAAAAAATTTATTTCATTCAAATAATCTGTTACTTGAATATAATCAAATAATATTTGTACACGGAGAAAAATGGAAAAACAAAAACGAATAAAGTAACTTTTACTACTTTAAAAGTAAAACAGGAACTGTCCGCAGTTTCTGTGCATTTCTGACAATTTTCACTCCAGAAATAGTAAAATTTACTATTTCCAGAATAATTTTTACTATTTCAGGAGTAAATTTTACTATTTCTAGAATAAAAATTGACAGAAATGTGCAGAAATTGTGAACACTTCCGGTTTTACTTTAAAAATAGTAAAAGCTACTTTATTCGTTTTTCCATTATTCACCGTGTACAAATAATTATTTGTATTAAATAATTATTTATGTAAATTAAATGGTATTTTTAATTTTAATTTTTCAGATTCTGGTGTTTCGAAACCGAAAAAAAAGAATAGAATTTTACTTTTTATATAAATAATACTCAACAAAAGAGGACAATTGGATATTTTACATATAGTACATGAAAAAAAATAGGGGAAAAAAATATATCTCAAATTTCGTTTCTTTTTGAATATTTAAAAACCAAGGTGTAATTTGCATATAAGAAGAGTATATCACAACCCAAACAATGTATATTCCTGCGTTGGCAGAGAAGTCTAGGCTTTAAAACTGATTCATTGCCAAGAGTGTAACTTGGTGTCGCACAAACCCTCCTCCTCCACCCCCCCCCTCTCGTCCCTTATACCCCTTTTTCTGTCATCCACCTCTCAACACTCTTCACCCCGTGAATTGCCGGAGGGTTTTCATCGTAATGGGAAGTTATGAGCACAATCGAAATACATATATATAAACGTACCGGTGCTTAACACCCTTTAAATGCTTATAGCTTTTCATGCAACTTCATATATATATATATATATATATTGCAATAAACGAGTCACTCCCACACAAAAAAGCAATGCCACAGAAAATAATTGTCATTAAAACTATATTGTATGATCATTTTAGAATCTTTTTATGATACTTCTTTCTCACTGTTATTCTAAAGTAATTTCAACTATCGTCAACCGGGAGGTTATTGTGGTACGAAAATTGCAGTTTTTTTCTAAATTTAAAATGTTTTAATCTTTTTGGTGTAATTTAAATTAATCCGAAATTAAGATAATATCGTTCTTTATTTATAGAACTGACATATTCTATATATGATATCAACTATATAACCATTTAGATAATATATTCAAAGAGAATCAACAGACACACCGCAAATGAGCTTTTTTTTTTCATTGAACACTTTTTCAAAAATTTCCAACTCTTATAACTTATACACCCATCTGTTACGAGTAAATCTTTCTGGTTAAAGATCCCAATTCCTCTACTATAAAGCAATGTCTCATCATAAATATTCCTTAAAACCTCAAAAAATCATTGCCCTCTAGGAAAAAAAAAAAAAAAAAACGACCTCACTCGGGTGTGTTACACGCGGCTCTGTTTTCAAATAATTTTAAATTTATGGGATAAACGTGAGTCACGTGTTTATGAGCAATAGGGACAAGAAGTGCCAGTCACAAAAAATGAACGCCGGGGATGAGGTCCCTCTTTCTCTGTTTTCGGAGTCTGATCACAACCCCTCGTAATTGCCCGAGCAAGTTACCAACATCGATTGGCATCGACTAATAATAATCGCTAGTAAGAGACAGAGGAAGTCGAAGGGTGATAAAGGGAATCCCCTAGAGAAAAATTGACCCTAGGTGAAGGAGGGGGGGGACGACGACGAGGATTTGCTTGAATTGTCCGGTTGTTGAACTTTCAAAGTTGGCTCATATAACGATTCGATTTCTCATTTGTACTTCGTCAAGTCCCGAGGTTGCAATTGAGGCTCCCGGGGTCAGAGTTTAAGAGGAAAGAGTTGGCTCTCAATGAGAGAGTGACGAGACGCACGTTTCTTGTATATAATGTTCTTTTTAACGAACACGTCGATCGCATTCAAAAACCACACACGGAGGAGAGCATATGTATATATATATATATACATCAATTTTAGTCGACGTTTGCACTCGAATGCAACGTCGCGGGCTTAAAAATAGCGTCACGTTAGGGTGACTATATGGCAGTTAACAAACGGTAAAACTAACACGGCCTCCTACAATAACATTTCACTTCGGTCACGTGTTTTCCGCGGGTCGACTATTATAAGATCACCCGTGTGTTCCTCGATCTTTGGCTCTCTGCTTTCTCTCGTTACCAGACTGCCATTCTTCCCCCCCCCCCTCCACCACCATTATAGCAGTATGCCACTAAAACAATCACGAAAGAAATTATTTAAGAGTCTGAATTATTTTAGTAGCGCGTCTCAATACGTTGTGTTCTGGATTCTGTAGAGGAAAAATATCTTGAATTTTTCTTCCATTAATCTTAATGCTCTTGATGGACTGTTATTTTTATTTCTTTCTTGACAAAGGAAGATTTGTCTTGATGGCATGATTTATTGTGTCACACACACACACACAATCTTTTATTTATTATTATTAATACTTTCAGCGTATATTTATTTTTCTAAATTAATTTTTTTCATTTAATTTTAATATTTTGTTTTATTAAAAATAACGAGATATTTAAATTAAATTTAGAAATATAACATTATATTTATTAATTATTATGCTTATATTTTTAAATTTAATTATTTCTACTTGAATTAAAATTATACTCTTAATTTTTATGTCAAGAGACTTCTTTAGGTCATATTCATTTTATAAAGAAGTATGGATCGATTTCAATTTAGTTGTCAAAGTTAAACCTTAATGAAAAAATAACTAGAGCATAATTACAATTCTAGTGAGTCTTTGATATACATATATATACTTCACCCCGAGCTAATACATTTTTTTTTTCATAATTAAAAAAGAGGGTCGTACGAAATGAAAAATTAATTTCTAATTAAAATAAAAAAAAAATGTAATTATACACTAGTTCTGATATTATCACTGTATATTAAAATAATAATTAATAATAATAATTAGTATGATGATTTTAACTATTATTATTCTCACCCTAAAAAATTGGGTAAAATTTTTTTGACAAAAAGTTTACTAATTGTAAGATTTCCATTACAATTCAGTCATATTTCACTGAAGATTAGTCGAATTATTACAGATTTTGAACAGTCAATTCTGCATTATCATTAATCGGTAAAACAGATTTCACAAAAATAATTCTACTAATTTACAGTGAAAATCTTACTGAAATAATTCAGATTCTAAATTCCAACTATTTTGTCATTAAAATTTAATCAATTCACAGATTAAAAATTAAAGCAAATCTTTTTCCATCATTATGTCTCGGATTTAAATCACCAATGAATATTTAAATATATATTGATTAACATTAAGTCTAAAATAATCATTCATTCTTGAATAATTTGATAAAAATAATTTTTTTTTCCAATTTCAGGCAGGCGTGATGCGACAGCCGAGAGCTTAAAGGGAGAATCTTCCAAAATGGGACACAGTCGACGAATGAAAGGACCCCTGCTTTTACCTAGGACCATGGCAGACTTATCTTTTTTATTGGTAATCTTACTGTTGCCAATCACTCGATCGGAATCAGCTGTGGGTCCCGTGAACAATGAATTGGATCTTGTTCCCGGTGTGATATCACCCCAGTCTTCCTCGTCATCGTCCGCATCATCATCGTCACAATCATCATCATCATCATCATCATCGTCACAATCGTCATCGTCAATTGTTGGAATAATACCGGGAAATGGAGGAAATCCAGGAAATTTAGGTTCATCCATAGGCGGAGGAGGATCTGGTCATTCAATGATTGGAAATCATCCTGGAAGTGGATCAAATCATGGACTCGGTAGATGTGAAGAAATCACAATTCCCATGTGTAGAGGAATTGGCTATAATTATACAGCGATGCCAAATGAATTGAATCACGATACACAAGAGGAGGCTGGTCTTGAGGTTCATCAATTTTGGCCACTCGTTGAAATTAAATGTTCGCCGGATTTGAAATTTTTCCTATGCTCAATGTATACACCAATTTGTCTACCCGAGTACAATAAACCATTGCCAGCGTGTCGTAGTGTTTGTGAACGTGCAAGAACTGGTTGTGCGCCACTAATGCAACAATATGGATTCTCCTGGCCAGAGAGAATGGCTTGTGAAAGATTACCAATGCAAGGCGATCCTGATAATCTCTGTATGGATCAGGATAATCGTACGAGTACATCGGAACAAGGTGGCGGAGCTAATCAACCATCAATAGCACCGGCGGCACCACCAAGACCAACGAGACCATCAAAAACGTCGCAATTGCCAAAATGTAAACCGGGAAAAAATCAAAAAAACTGTCAAGTCCCCCTGGAGGAAAAGGTAAGAGAGTGCGCGTGCCGATGCAGAGCACCACTCGTTTACAATCCCCTGGGGGCAGCGGGAGCAAGTCCTGCGTTCCATGGGACAGGAGCAGCCACCGCCGCCAAAATACCCTGGTCGGGTCTGGTACCCGTTCACAATCAAGACATTGTAGGAATTCCAGATTGTTACATTCCATGTCACGGGGCATTTCTCACAACGGAGGAAAGGGGATTCGCGGCCGTTTGGCTAGCTGTGTGGAGCGGCCTTTGCGCGGCAAGCACCCTCACCACCATAACCACATTTCTGATTGACACACATCGTTTCAAATATCCAGAGAGGCCAATTGTCTTTTTGTCGGCTTGCTATTTTATAGTGTCACTGGGCTATCTCACCAGGAGTTATCTAGGTCATGAGGAAATTGCCTGCCATGGATCCGTATTAAGATCGGGTGCTCAAGGACCAGGAATGTGTGTCACGGTCTTTTTAATGATATACTTCTTTGGAATGGCTTCGTCAGTTTGGTGGGTTATTCTTGCTTTTACATGGTTCCTGGCAGCGGGACTCAAATGGGGAAATGAGGCAATTGCCTCATATTCACAGTACTTCCATTTGGCGGCATGGCTTGCGCCCACTGCTCAAACTGTTTGGGCACTATTGGCCGGTGGTGTTGCTGGTGATCCAATTGCTGGTGTGTGTACAGTTGCTCCCGAAGGTGTGACAACTTTTATACTGGCTCCACTTCTAGTCTATCTTCTCTTGGGAACTAGTTTTCTACTCGCTGGATTTGTCAGTCTCTTTAGAATTCGTTCGGTTATTAAGAGGCAGCCAGGAGCTAAAGCAAATAAATTGGAAAAATTGATGATACGAATTGGTGTATTCTCAGTGTTGTACACTGTGCCAGCGAGTGCAGTACTCGCTTGTCATCTCTATGAATCAACAATGAGAAATGATTGGCTTGAATCTTTGGCTTGTCCATGTCATCGTCGAACAAGGCCAATGTACTCTATTCTTATGCTCAAGTACTTTATGGCTCTTGCGGTGGGAATTACATCAGGTGTTTGGATTTGGAGTGGTAAAACATTGGACTCGTGGCGAAGACGTTGGAGACGAGTATTTGGCGATGGTGTTGGTGGTGGTGCTGGTGGAATCAGTGGTGTTACAGGTGTCAGTGGTCTTGGGAATGTGTCAGGCGTAAAGGGAATTGTTGGCCGTTCATCAGCTCCACATTATCCACCACCACCAGGTCCTGGAAGTGCACTTCTACCACCGGGTAGTGTTGCCAGTGCATCTCAACATCATCTTCATCATCATGTCTTTAAGCAACAGCCACTCTCACACGTATGACGTCACCAGTCGGCGGGAGGGGATATGAGCACCGCAGGCTGTGAATCACAGCAACAAGAAAGACCTTCTGCTTTGAGCAACTACGGGCCCATTTAGCCCTTCGCGTCGGCCTCACGAAGGCATACTCCGCACACAGCACCGCACACGCCACATTCGGCTGCCACCATTTACTCCAGGAGATCACTTGCCTCGACAGGACCCCTCACACCTGCTCATGGACTGGCTCCGTCTTACACTCAGGCTACAGAGGTGTAGGCTTCTGGGTTACAAAAAAACGTCACGATCACATTTGGAATTACTCCTTTATTAAAAAAAAAAAAAAAAAAAAAAAAGAACTCTGTAAATACAAAAGATGTAAGATTTATTATTCTGATGCTTTCTATCTCTCTCACTCCATTTTGGAATATGAATCAACATTGATTTTTGGTCTACACTGTTGAATTTAGTGCCTAAATTGCTTCACGAATTTACAGCTAATGAAATAATAATTCTTACATCGAATAATTTTTCGACAAATTATTAGCACACAGCAATTAGTAGATTTAGACCCTTAAATATATATCAAATGAAAGAGTATTCCAATATAAAATCGCGACATGAAATATTGACAAAAACGCACACCTCTATAAAAAAAAATGAAGTTTGGAAAAGCTCTTCTGTAAGATTCATCAGATATTGTTCGTGATGTCTCGAACATTACTGAAGTGTCTTGTACCCAATATACGTATTGTAAAGCGCGTGATAAGAAAAAAAAAAAAAAATACACATACACGGAACCTCTCAAGAGGCGGGAATTTCAAATCGTTAACGAAGAGTCGATGGAAATACCGTTCTCTCTGAACCGGATGACCTTTGCAAGAATATAGTCGAAGGCAGACGTGTATCCCATAAGAAATACGAGAGAGAGCTGCTAGACTCGAGAGGTCTCCGTGTCGCGCGTGTGATTGTGATTTAGTATGAGTGAATGTGTTGTTGTAATTTTTTGAATGTATGTATGTGGGTGTATATGAGCGCGTGAAAATCCTTCTCTCTCTCTCTCTCTCTCTCTCTCTCTATTTAGTCTCTCTGCACTCCTTCGGACACCGCGCAGTCCGCTTGTCCGTCTAATGTGTATTGTCTTGTCTATATGTCACTCTCTCAACAGCGCAGAGTCAGCTGATAATTGAAAATACACGATTTTTAAATGACAATTACCCAGTGTCGTGAAATTAATGCCAATTAATCTTTTAAAAACGAGATTTCAACGTTTGTCAATGTAAAAGATAATATTTTTCAACGGACCAAAAATATTAGTAAAAGTATTGAAATCTTTACTTTAATAATAATAATTAGTTAGACGTAATTTAAATTATATATTTTAACTTGAAATTAAATTTTTTATATTTTTTTTTAAATTGTAGGAGTTGAATGAATTTTGACAGGAAGTCTATTCCCACAGACCACCCAAAATTCCCTGAAACTTGACAGAACCTCATATGGTGAGGTTAGGAAACTTCAGTGGCAAGGTTCATACAAGTTTGTGTCCTAACCTTGCCGTGTGAGGCTCTGTCAAGTTTCAGGGAATTTTGAGTGCTGTATGGGTTGAGATAAATTCGGTAATACAAAAAAAAAATAGTTTGTGATATTTACAAATTTATTTCTGTTTTACACAAACTGCTTCACTTCAATTCCTAACCAACACTAAATTTTACTTTTATTTTGTTATTGTAAAACATAAATGTAAACATCTTAAAGTAAAACAAAATTGTGATTAGGAATTTTTAGGTTATGTTACGAAGCAGTTTGTGTACAATCAAAACTGATTTGCGAATAGCACAAACTACTTTTTTCCCGTTAATTTATCGAAATTTTCTACAATAGAATTCCGTTTTAAATAATTTGACTAAATTGAAAGCTTTAAATTTTTATTTATGGAAATAAAAACTATTTCCAGAAAAAGGTTTTTTTTTAAACAACTATTTTTTTTTAATTTTTCCTTAAAAAGGGAACTATTTCCTCAGATAAAGAAATTTTAAACTTCTTTTATGAGCAAAAAAAATTTGTTCTCAGAGGAAAATCTTCTTTTTAGTATAAAAAGAAATTCAAGTGTTGTTGTTTTTTTTTTTTTTTTGTCTACAGAAGACAATTTCGTTGGTCAAATTTTTTTTTTAAATGAAATATTCGAGAATTTTCGATTAAACTTCTTTTTTCCATGAAAGAGTTTTCGAAAAAAGAAGTTTACTTTTCTTATAAAAAGAATTTATGTGAAAAAAAAGTTTAAAACTTTTTTTTTTAACTTTTCTTAAGAAAAAAAAGATTTAAAAAAAAACATTAACGAACAAATATTCTTAAAAGAAGTTTTCTTTTCGAAAAAGAATCTTCCAAAAGACAATGAAATTATTTTTCGAAAATAAATTATTTGGCAAAACGTTGAAATTGTTAATATCGTATAATTATTCTCGAAATAAAAATAAAGAATCGAGATTTTCGCCAAAAAATCAACTGCCTCAGCGTAATGAGAAAATTTCTATTTATCTAGTTTTAGCAATCGATATTATTAAAAAAAAAAAAAATGCGGATTAATATTTCTCGTCGCGTGCTTTTTTCGAAGACAGATTTTTCAAATAGAATTTAGATTTTTAGAAATCTTTGTAGAAAGAAAAAATGAAATGAAAATCTGAAAAAATAATTCATCGAAAGAAGCTCGCGAAATTGATCCGCAATATTGAAGGAGAGGGTGTATAGGCTAACTGTAAAGAGGAAAAAAAAAAAAAAAAAAAAAAAACTTGTAAATATTTCACCTCTATATTGAACAATGTTCTGTTGTAAATAAATATATAATATAACTTCGATCATAATGTAGATGGTAGTGTGTACAAAAAAAAAAAAAAATAATAAGTGTCCTGCGTAAATCGTGACAAAATCGCACGACAAATTTATTTGAGATCTCGAAAAAAAAAAAAAATCTTATTATCACTAGCGGAAGTGATCCGAAGCGTCCAAAGAGTGTACAGAGAGGAACGCGTCATTTTTTTAAAATATATAATATACATTTATAGTCAGTTGAAATCTTTTTTCTATTTACAACATAAAATGAATAGTCCTCAAATATTATATTGACTTGACCCTTACAAAAAAAAAAAACCAGACATGATTCACTTATTATGATATGTCGTTGTACTTTGCTGTAAACAGTTCATTATAACGACAAAAGTATTTATGTAAAAGGATTAAACTTGCTTGTCAAAGTTCATTGTCTGGCTCGTAAAGTTTCTTTCAATAAAAAAAAATAAATCTGACTTAAAATGTAGGAGAAATCAAATCAATTTTTGTTCTCTAAAAATATTTTGTTATTATTTTATTTTATATTTCCATATGTTTAATGATCTGGATGCGTCTTGAAGTAGATTCTTAAACAACGCGGTTAAAGATACATAATTATATATTATAGATAAATATATAAAAATATATATATATTATATATATAAAAATAAATGTGCGAAACTAGAAGAGTAGTAGGCGCGTTTACGTACTTTTCAAAATTTTTAAAAAAATTGATACGAAAAACAGTATTTTTGAATATAACGCGCCTGTTCTGTTTCGAGGTGCAGTGTACAATGTACACGGGCGAGAGAAAATTGTCAAAAGACTCGAACAAAACGAAAACTGCCTCAAGCAAACTTAAAAAAAAAAAAAAAAAAACGTTATATAGCCGTCTTGGTACATTTGAGACGGGTCCCTCTGCCAAAACAGACGTACACATATAAAATTTAAGGTAGCAAAAGAGTAAAAAGAGTTAGTTTCACATATCACACGTAAATAAAAAAAAGAATGAAAAGAAAAATATACATGAGAGCGACCGGTCAGTGTTACATTGAAATTATTGATGTATAGTAAACAATAACTTGCGACGTCTAACGTATAAAGTGCATCGAATCGTTCTGCGCATTTAAAATTAAGGAGTACACGGTAATAATAAATTAAATTCTAATGTGAGAATATAATATAAATAGCGGAAGGACGCAACTTCGAGAAACGAGGGAATAGTTTGTATTCAAAAACTGATTTTTTTTGTCACGATTATTGTCAATAAAATAAAAAAAAAAAATTGAAGACTACCCAAAAGTATTTCTAAATTTTATAATTTTACTCTTTCTCTATATCGCTCTTGTATAATTATTAAAAATCTCTTAGATATATTATGATATTCATTTTCTTGCCTATATAAGTGTCTAGTTGTTTGTGCTTTTCACTTTTTTTTTTCAATTAATAATCTAAGTAATAATAATTGCATGTTTCTCTTTTGCTGAAGCTTTCCCTCGTCTCGCTTTTACGTTTTTTCGCGAGGTTGATCGATGGTCTCAAAAGACTGCCTGGTGTTCCGAAGTCGCAGTCGTCTTTTTGTAATAATAATAATAATAATAATAATATTAATAATAATAATATTAATAAAAATAATAATAATAATAATTTATGTTGCCATAGCCTTACAAGTAATTGTTCGTCGACCACGTTCGAGAATCAAAATTGTATACGATTTTTAATACACTTTATTATTATTATTTATCTTCAATCGCTTTTTTTTTCATTCATCATTTATACCTTCATGCCTTTTCCTATAAATTTACATATTTGCGCTTTATAATAGTTTTTTCATTATTGGAATATTTTTATAGAGTCAAAAAAAAGCAGCATGGTAGAATTTATTATTAAACTATAAATAGTTTAAGAAAAAAAAATAATAATAAGATAACTAAATGATTGATTTTTAGAAAACTTTTTTTTTTAATTAACATTATATTATTATTTTTATTATTTAATTTTATATTATATTATTTTATTCATTAACTTATTATTATTTTACTTTTAGATAATTTCTATAAGATTTTAAATATTTTAAACATCAAGCAAACAAAAAAAAAAATGTCAAGAACAAGATTTATCTCGTATGTCAAATCAAATTTGATCTTTTATTTGTTTTTAATCTCGTTTTTAACAAGAATTCATGGTAAAATTGATACAAATTACAAAAAAAAAAATTATAATCAGCCTTCTAATATTAATTTTTTAAACTGTCAGATTTTTCAGTCTTCAGAAAATTTAAAAAAAAAGAACATATCTAACGCTCCACGAGAAAAGGGACCTACTCTTTAAATTTGAATTAGTAAAAATGTTTACTAATTTGAATTAGTGACTCACTTTTTGCTTTAGAATTAGTTAAATTTTACTAATTATTAGTAAAAGTTACTCATAATTAGTAAAAATTTACTAATCACAGTTTTCCTAAAAGTATCAAATTGAGACTAAAAATTGCATCAAATCTTTGCAACGTTTTGATGCACATAAGTTATATCAAAAAGAGATCGTTTTGTGTATCATTTTTAGAAATAACACACGAAACGGTCTCATTTTTTGATGCAAAAAATTTAATCAATTTATATCAATCATGGCCGAATTGAATCGACTCAAAATTAAACGAATTTTTTTCAGATATTTTGGTAATAGTACAATTGCGGAGATCATTTCACTATTTAATTTGAAAATGAAAATAACAGAAAATCAAAGACAATGTGCAATTCGATAATTAAAAAGTGACAGCTTATAAACATAACCTAAAATGCATGAGAAAAAATTTGTCGATAAAATCAATATAGCCGAGCTTTTTAGAAGGTAGATGGCAGTTTTGCTTTTTATAAAAACGATTCAGAAAAAATTTAAAGAAAGAAAATAGATGAGTGCTGCCATCTACCTTCTAAAAAGTTCGGCTATATTGATTTTATCGACAAATTTTTTCTCGTGCATTTTAGGTTATGTTTATAAGCTGTCACTTTTTAATTATCGAATTGCACATTGTCTTTGATTTTCTGTTATTTTCATTTTCAAATTAAATAGTGAAATGGTCTCCGCAATTGAGGACACCAATGCAATAAACAGACGGACGCTCGGACCGGCCGCGCTGAAGCCAGTCAACGAATGAAAAAGTCGAAAAAATTAAAATTCAAAATTTTGATTTTTGAAATATACTACGTTGTAGAGAATAAAACGGCGCATCTTTTTTCTTTTAACTTTTTTTTGTAGAATGAATAGTTTTGACAATAATTGCAAAAAACTAAATATTTTCAATCAACAAATTTTATTGAATTTTTAAACACAAATCGTTCCAGTTCCGACAAATATTAATGAATTTACTTCAACTTTGGTATACACACGCATTTAGGTCTAGAGAAGACGATAGCATGATGAAAAAGTTAAAAACCGTAAATTATTTAATTATTTATTAATTTAAATAATAACTTACCTGTACTCTCGTTTTCCTATCTTCGCCGACAAAAAGTCTGTGGGGAACTTTTTCGTTGACAAAACTTCCAGTGAGACATTTGTTCCTCACATATCGAAGAAGTTTTGTGGAAAAATTCAGATCGATTTATTCAAAACTGACGAAGATACACAATTTTTAATGAAAAACACGCTACGCTTTTCCTGATCTGTGTGTTTATATTGCTGAACATCGACCTTATCGACAATGCCGTCTGGCAGTGTGGATCGTGGAGTTATTTTGATTTACATAATTAAAAATGAACGTTTAATCAAGCTGAAACTATCACTAAACATAATCAAAATGTTTTACCTTTAATAACAATTATTAAAATTCAAAATGGCGAACTAATTTTCGAAAAATTGACGAATTTTCATGAAACTTGGTATACAGGTGTTTTAGGCGTCGCTGATTACGAATTTGAAGTCCATTTTTAAAAATTCAAGATGGCGGATCCAATATGGTGGATGAGTTTTTAAAAAATTGATCAGATTCATTTGAAACTTGTCACTCGGAGGTTTTTGGAGTTGATGATTACGAATCTAATATCAGTTTTTCAAAATTGAATATGAAATTTAAAATTTTTAAAAACAGACTTCAGATTTGTAATCAGCAACCACGAAAATCCGCGAGTGACGAGTTTCAAACGAATCTGATCAAATTTTTGAAAAGTCGTCCGCCATCTTTAATTTTTGAAAACGGACTTTAAATTAGTAATCAGCGATTCTGAAAATCCTTTAGGGTACAGTGATCCGTAAACTTTGATGAAAAGAAAAATATTTGACTGAAATGGTTAAGAGATACATAATCATATTTTACATCTTCCATATAGATGTAATAATTGTCCTCATCTGAATTCGTTAAATTCGTTAAAATTGTTTATTATTGGAACTAAACAAGATTCACTAAAAATTATCAAGACGTAAACAATTGAATGTTCAAGAAGCTTGGGTATAAAATTTTCTTATTACTTTTAAAGCAATATGAAGCAAGTTCAAGATAATCTTGTCTTGAAGTACATATCTCTACTCTAAATGTAAAAGGAGAAAACTTTTTTTATTTGTAAGAACTTTTATTGAAAAGCACTTTAAAACGACGTGTAGTTAAAAACTGAAAAACCTATTTAAAATCACACATGCACATATAAAATTTCAATAAAATGATTTTTAAATGCCTTGTGTTTTGCCACATACGGGCAAAAACCACAGTCACCGTTTTTTTTATATCCTATTCAAAAGCAGCGACACTTGTGGAAGAGGACACCATATAATAAAATTCTTTCTTGTACTTGGAAGGACGAAAACATGAAAAATTTTATTCGTATCTATATATAGTGAAAGAAATTTCTCTTATTGTAATGCTAAATACAAGAGTTGGAGAATTTTTAAAGACGCAGCAGAGGCAGTCGTTGTTGTTATTCGACAGCCTCTGGTTGCGAATGAAAAAAAAAATGTCTGGTTGAAGTATATGGTCGATGCTATTAAAAAAAAAAAAGAAGAAGAATCATGCGGTATTCACTTTACGTTGTATAGAGTGGGTTTCGCGACTCTCGGTCAGGGGTCGGACAGGGATGAACGCCTACCATGAGAGGACTAACTGCCAACGAATTTATGGTCTTCGACAGCGAACTGCGGATATCACCGTCATAAACAAAGTATATATCTCCTTTGGAGCATTTATGGCCAAATGTATAAGTTTGGTTATTCGCATATATATGATCTGCGCTCGTTAAAATAGTCAACTGTTGCGGCTCTCTTCGAGTATAATTATTTATCAATAATAAGTTCTTTTTAAGGTGCGAGAATGCTGATATAACTAATTAAAAATTAATTCTCATTCTTATATATATAGACATGCTAGTTAATTATATCTTATTTACAATATTCTTTTCTCAATTTTTTAGCCATATTGATTTAATATATTCAACTTGTTAAGCTCATTAGATATTCAGTTCATTGCTTTCGGTTTTTCGCATTTATTATCACGAATCGCACAAAATATAATTATCGAAAAAGAAAATTGAAATTATAAATACACCACCAATTAAATAAATCCATTTTTTTAAATTAATAAATAAACAAATAATAAATAATTAAATAAATAATAACAATAATTAATAAAAACATAATAAAATAAAATCAATAAGAAGTAAAATAAAATATGTGTGCTGTTTAAGTAAAAATTTGTGAAGTGTGCCGGCATTTTTTTAGAGGTCGAAATTTTTTTATCAAATATACATTTTTCTATTCAAAACAATAAATAAAAAATACAACTTGAACAGTTTTGTGAAATTTTTATATTTGTACAAGTTATTGTTATAAACATTTTTTTGCATGAATTTACAAAAATTTGTTTTTCTATTAACCTAATTAATAAAACTTTCTGATTTTTGGTATACTTACTGAAAAGTAAAGCTGCTTTCGATTGATGTTAATTATTTGAAAAATTTAAATAATTTGTTAAAAATATAAACAATTTAATTAAACAAATAAAAATAATATTAACTTCTCAATCGATTTTTCAGTTCTTTTTTGTTGGATATTACTCGTAATTTAATCTAGAATCATTTGCAAAAAAGAAAAACTTGGTAACTTATATTCGATTAATAGTAATTAAAGATTTTATCCGAGCGTGCAACAAAATATCTTGCGTGAATGACCGCCGCAGAGCCATTAGAAATGTTTAAATAAACGAAGATTGCTACTTGTCATAACCCTTTTTCATACATTGTCATAAATTTTGTCGAAAAGTATGGTTAAAAATGCCACAAACAAATCGCTGTTGAAATCCTTTAGGCAAAAATGGGTTTAGTAACAGAAAACTGGAACGTAAAGTTTAAAAATTTCATGGCATTCTATTAACAACTTTGTGATCTTTGTTATTGTTATTTAAAATTAATATCTCCTGCTTTAAATAATGTTTATTTTTTTCGATTTGTAATTCTTTATAAATATAAACAATTTAATTTAGTAATTTAATGAAAAAAAATAATCTTTAATTTTTTACCTATTTCCAAGATTTTTTTGTTGCATATTACTCCTTTCTTTAAATCTGAGATAATTTTAAAAATACTTGATTATTTACATTTATAGTTCAAATAAATAAAAATGTATGAAAAAGGGTTATGACAAGTAGCAATCTTCGTTTATTTAAACATTTCAAATGGCTCTGCGGCGGTCATTCACGCAAGATATTTTGTTGCACGCTCGGATAAAATCTTTAATTACTATTAATCGAATATAAGTTACCAAGTTTTT